GCAGAAAGAACTTAAGGCGATAGATGGAACGAAGTATGCCTGTGACTTTACGACAAACCTCTGACACCTTTAATATCCAACTAAGAGACGGGTCGATAATTAAGCCCAGATCCTTGACATTAGCGCTGAAGGGAATTACGCAGTTTTCGTAGTGAGTTGATGGTAGTTCAGATATGTTAAGTTGTGACACCAATGGACGACGCCCAATGACGTTAGTCTGGCATTTACTGGGATTTACCGTTATACCAAAGCGCTGTGACCAGTCTGATATACATTGTAAGTCACGATTAACAGCTGCGATAGCAGTATCAATTTCAGCCAAGGACGCTTGTGAGTATAATTGGAGATCGTCAGCATAGAGGTGGTAAGAACATTGAAGGTGGGTAGTTAGAAGATTGATAAACACCGAAAACAAGATAGGAGAAAGAATATCGCCTTGCGGTACAACTAGAGACAGATCGCACCAGTCGGAAAAATCCTGACCAGACCGAACAGTCTGCTAGTGATCGCGAAGCTAAGAGGAAAACGAGTTCAGTACTGATGAGGAGAAATTTAGTTGTAAAAGTAATCCAAGGTGTAAGTCGTACTCGACACAATTGAATGAGTTTGAAAATTCAATAAGGACAAGAACAGTCAAACATGACCTCTCTATGGCTTCTAAAAAGTCTTCTGTAACTTGAAATAATGCAAAAATATATAAAATAAAATAATTAAAATATTCAAATAAAAATATAATTTAAATGTAATTCTGATATAATATTATTATATGCAAAATAAATGACAAATTTTAAAAATTGTCGTCGATATAATTTACATAATTAACAATAAAATCTATTATTACATACTGGTCATTCTGACTACGCATAAACTATGATAAAAACCAACCGCGCATGTGCCACGCTACTCTTGCGCATGCGCGAAGACATGTTTTGTTTGAAACAGCTGTTCTAGTACGTAAGTACATAATACTTCAATAGTTGCGGAAGACTATATTAAAAGTATGGCCTTTGTAGTATTCTCAACAGTTACTCAATGAAGTTGAAAGAATTACTCGATAACAAAGGCATGGAATTAAGTTCCTGGAGAGTTGTAACTTTGGTGGAGTAATGCAGACGCAAAGCAGAAGAAAAGTGTATGTTAAAGTCATTGAGTGAAATATTTGCGGTTAGAGGTTTGGAATGTGATTTTGGAATCCCAGGGAATTAAGGAACTTCCATATGTTTGCAGAAGAGTTTAAAATAATTTATTAATAGGTTATTGCAAAATAACCCTGTATATATATAATAGACTGCGTTGCGAACTCTTTTTGTCCCAAAACCCTATCTCTCTCTGTCTCTCTCTCTCTCTCTCTCTCTCTCTCTCTATATATATATATATATATATATATATATATATATATATATATATATATATATATATATATTTGTAGTAGTATGATGCACCTACTCAAAAAATAGAACTGTAGGAACAATACCACAGTAGAGTTTATAACTTATAAAGAAGTGTCTTTATTACTTGGTCATTATATAGCGAGATAAGAAAATAAATAGTACTATAGAGAGACACTTCAGATTAACTAATTAGCAGTGTTTTAGGCAATGTAATGTACTTTTTTATTTCAAGCTTACTGTCTCATTGCCGCTTATTTTTCCTTCTTTTGCCGACTTAAGATATATATTTATCTCTGTCACACATCCGCCATTTCCCCAGGCAACATTAGTTGCGTAAGCGAACGCCGGTTTTTGTTCATTGATTAAAAATACACTATGAGGAATTAAAAATGTATGCTTCATACATTTTAAGCGTTCTATATATTGATGATATGGTATGTGTTTTATTTTCATGTATAAGATTATTACACTGAACTATTATTTATAGGTTTCTAAATGAGATGCTTCTATTGTCGCCTGGTGTTATGAAAAAGATGCTAGTATGAATAGCCAGAAGTTCGTAAAATGCAATATAGTGATTTAATAGGTAGTTATAACCTTACTGTCTCGAAATTGCTATCATTAAAAGTGCCCTTCGAGAGCCTCTAGTTGTAAGTGTAGCTCTTTGAGAGTCACTGAGTATAGAGCTCATAAAATACGTTACACCCCTGCAGGCAGTAACGGTACAGACTTCCCGGGTGATTTTCGCAAGAGGTTACAAGTTTGTAATTTCATCTCAGCGCATTTTATCGACTTTGCCTTTTCATTTATTTTTCTTTTAGTAACTTTAACTACATCCTCTTTTGTTATTATACCGGGAACCTTGTACATGTGAATCACACGTAATATTTGTTGAAACTGAATCCATGCTCGTTACTAGTATTAAACTAAATGTCCTTTAAACGATATTTCTTTTCTGCGTTTAATATGAAATTTACACTTGTTTTTTGCATATTTTTAAAACAAAACACATTTAGAACAATGTCATCATGCGTCAAGCGAAAATTATGATCTGAAACAAAAGCCGGACGAATTCGACATTCATTTGTTACGAGACCGTTGTTGCCTAGTGAGGATGTGTGACAATGATAAATTATACGTAAGATGTGCGTAAGCAAAAGAGAGAAAGAAGCAGAAATAACTTTGCTTCTCAATTATTAATCCCCGAATAATGGTCAAGTTTTATAATTTGAAATAATTTTAACTCGTGAATTTACGAACTTATTACTTAATCGAAATAATATGCCAGTAATATTTAATCATATTTTTTTTAGCTATTGAATAATTTATGTTCATTTAATACATTTTAAATAATATTTTTTTTATTTATAGAAAAACAGCGTGACAAACGAAAAACACACGGTGCACCTGATGTAAGTGGATGCTATAGACATCTACATTCAATTAAGAATCAAAATGCAGATCCGTTGTCATCCCTGAGGACTACGATGGAATACCTCGTTACCAGTAAAAACGGTCTCCGGTTCTCTATACTCACTATATGAAACACAGCCGCACTAAGCTGCTATTTTATGCTGGTATTCTGTGAGAGCGTGATCCTTCCCCGGTCGGGCCAACCCATTCGTGCTACACCTATAATATAGCTGCAGCGTGGCTCTACACGGACAAATCTATCTATCTACGTTGTATTGTAATATATTATTATGATATCAAAGTTAACTGTTTAGTTTAGAAGATAACAATTTTGTACATACTCGTAACTATAACAATAAAGGTAAATCAGAAACCTATTTATAGAAGCATGTTGAATGACCATTGTTTAATAGACACAAATGGGGTCAATATCTAGGCTAAGTTCGTAAATGCCATCGGTCATGGACATTAAAGGTCACATGCTACGTAAATATATATCTGTATTTGGTTCTATCTGAAGTTTATGAGTTTCGGACGATAGAAAGGAAGCAAAACTGTCCTTTGGTGATAGCAAAAAAGTTTTATGGGTCGTTTCGTCTGTAAATTAAAAAGAGCCTCCTTGAAACCATTTCGCTATTTTAATAATTTTAATTGCCTGCTTTATTTTCCTGTTCTTGTAATTGATTATATATATATTTTTTTGTTAATGACTTTGTTATATAATCGTCGTTATTTATTTAGACAAAAACATCGTATTGAAGGCAAATAGTTGAAAATAGTTTTTGAAATTGCTTTTCCAAACATAAGAAAGATAATCGCGGTTTCGTAGGCGTTGTAAAGGATGATAGAATATTCCTTTGGTGTTGTGTGCAACCTGTCATTGTAAAAATCATTTCTGTAAGTATAAAAATATCTTGCGAATATCTGCCTTCACTTTATGTTATTAGGTAAAGGCAGATAACCGCAACACGATTAATTGAACGTAAATCTGTTGTAATTAATTTAAAAGTTTTCACGTAAATATTTAATACTTGAATATATTGTGAATCTAAAAAAGTTAACGCTTTTTGTAATGTAATAGCAAACCCTAGATTTTTGAATAAATATTTATGAGTTAGCATGGCTATAATTCATTGAAAAGCTTACAGGTTAATCCTTCGCCAACCGACACGCAAATCCTAACTTTTATTTAGCGTTTACATTTTTAGAACAAAAAAGACAGCTATAATTAAAATACAGTAAATATTACAGTAAAAAATTTTAAATATAAAAATTAAATTTGTTAATAAATGAGCTTTTCTTCACTTTCGACATTATTTATGAGTAATAGTATTAAGCTAGTCAATTTGTTTAATAGTGATATCGATAAAACATTAATTCTCATTATAAACTTTTCTCATAACCTTAAATTTACCATACTGTTCGTTATTAATCCAGATTTCATCAGTAATTTAATATTCATGTATTAATAATGCAATTTGCAACTTCATTCCATTTTAAGCAGATATTTGGATTGTATTGTTCCGATATGAATTCCACAGATCCCCGTGCCATTGCTGACTGGAATTATTTACCTACTGTTAAAATTACAGGCCGTTTGAAATTCAAATTGTTAAAATTTAGGCGTTTCCTTAAATTATTCAGCCATTCATTGTATTGTACTTTGTTTCATACTTCACGCATTTTTATAAAATCCTGTTGTTTTTATGTAGAATAAGGTTTATATGTATTTTTAAATTTTAATGTAAGATACAATTCATGTATTTTTAGTTATTTTATGGTTATGTATTGCTTACTTTGGGCGTAATTTTTGTGAAAACTTATAAATATTACTTAATAAACAGTCAATTAGTAAAAGAAATCAAACTCAAAAACGTAAATATGCTTGTGTGGTTTTCGACAAAATAAATATAACCACTTAACAGCGAAGTCAAATTTCGCGAAGACTAAGGGAAGAAGAAGGCTTCCTTCGAAAAAGTAATCTTGTTAAACCATAGTTTAAGCCCGAGACTATAAATCACGTGTCATCATCGCATTCATCGTTACAGCCCTTCACTAGTCCACTGGTGAACATAGGTCTTCCCCAAGTAATGCAACACAACCACATAAATATGATGAGACGAAAAAACATAATTCGCAAACAATATCAAATAAAGTGGGTAAAACTTAATATATTTTAAATTATATTTTATCCAGGAGATCTACCACGACCGCGAAGTAAAGGGGAGTACGTCTTTGTAATCGCTCAACTATTGTTTGGGCTCCTACTCTTCGCCACAGTGCTGGGGCATGTTGCCAACATCGTCACCTCCGTCAGCACGGCAAGGAAGGAATTTCAAGGTAAGTTTTAATTTAATTCTATTAATTATTTTAATTCTATACGAAAAAAAATTCTTACTTGCACTAAAATATAAATTTTATATAAAAACTCATGACGTGTGATTTTGGTGATCTTTTAAAACTCTTAACTTTAATTTGTTGTTAACAAATGAAACAGGATTCTTTTGATAACGAAAAATGAAAAAAATATTAAGTAAAAATTAAAACATAAACTTCTCCTTATCGTTCAGTCTATTAAAAGTCCACTGCTGTGTATAGGCATCCCCTATACCTTAAGGTTTTTTTTTAAATTTTTGTTGTTATTATTAGGAATACACTGCTGCCCATCTCCTGATTTGGTTCCCTCTGTCGCCTCTTAAAACATTCACGGGACTATATGACAAATATTCTTAATGGATGTGCCACTACACGGTCTTTCTGCTTGTCATCATGACATATCTTTATTTATTAGTAGTTAATAATTATAAGTTTTTGTCTTGTTTACTTTTTGTTATAATGAAAGGAGTTCGAAATGAATCTAATAGTGAAGGTAAGTTATCAGTTAAGTTACGGCCCCTGCTGTACAATTCTCTAGATAATAATATCTCTTCCCTTTCTTAGTTCTTCCGGCGCGTTTAGTCTGAGCTGTTACAATACAATAAAATATAAGTAAACAGTAATTTTGACGTGTAGTGGCGGTGTAACAATATTCACTAGCCCATATCGCCCCGTGGGTGTCGTAAGAGCTGACAGAGGGAAATTGAAACAGGTGACGGGCAGCAGCATCTTTCTGATAATAATTCGAAATAATAAAAAACTGCGTTTGCCAACCGCGGAGGCAATCTGTGGAGGAGGCTCATGTTCAGCAGTGGATCTTTATAGGCTGTAATGGATGGATGGATGGACAGTTATTGTAATTAATCCATCAAATATATATATATATATATATATATATATATATATATATATATATATATATATATATATATATATATATTTTAAAAAACGTTACCCCCACACTAGGATTCTCTCCTGTATCGTGGAGGCAATCTACAAATACAAATTTCACAAGGACAAACATCCAAACCCGAAAAAATCATTTGTAGGCTATACAAATACTTGTTCCGTGCGGGATTCAAACCCGCGCCCCCCAGCGCAGCAACTCATTGCTAAGCCACTGCGCCACGGAGCCGTCGTATATGATTTTACCTTTATGATATATCTAAATTATATTAGTCTATTTCTAACACTTACTATATTTTATCAAACAGGGCGTAGAAAGTAATTTTTAAATGCATTTGTTACGCGATTGTAAGAAGGCTTTTGTTAAGCAAGTCAGTGCTCTTTACCATCTTTGGCTGGATCTTCTTTTACCAAGCCAAATAGAAGCAAAGAACAGGCTTATAATTTAAAAAAAATATTACACAATAAAAAAGGGAGCTGAGCGAAAGCATTGGGAGCATAGGTTTCTTCGAGCCTAGGTTTCTTAATTTAAAATTTTCATATTTTTTTTAATGTTTAAGTATCAACATTTCTTTAGCACGTAAAATAGGTTACCAGCAACATTTGAAAAAGGAAAGTCTGAAGATTCGTTCACTTGAGAACTAAGATGGAATATATTAACTCTTGTAATAACACTGCCTTTCTCACTTTGTAAAAGGAAACAATACTGCGCTTTAGAAAAAATAAACTGTATTTGTTTTTCTGGAAAATATTACGTATAGCACTAAATGATTTTCATTAAAGTTTACGAGTAATAATCCTACTTAAGCGCCGGCCATTAGAGTCCTGGGCCCTTAGCAGTAGGCTGAGGAACAAAATTAATACAGTAACGACCCGCTTAAAATATTACCTATGTGAACCATTTAGATGTTGATAGCATTAATTTGCTGAGTGCAAATTACGGAAATAAAATTTTCCTTTTTATGATAGTAATAAGCTCGTTTTTATAATGAAAAATTAATACATCATGGTGAAAAGCAACCCCAAATAATGAAGTGATAGCTTCTAATCTGTTTCCAAAAAAAAAATCTTTTAGAAGTTATTTTATTGTAAAATGTTAATTATTAAAAAAGTCCCACGGGCTGATTCTTCCCAGGATAGAGGTTTTATTCACGACCCAGTAGTCAAAATTAAAAAAAAAAGTATCTAGCTACTATTTTTATTATTTAAATTTAAAAAAATATTGTTCCATTCTATTCTAATCTATCTTATCCTGTCCTGCACTGTCCTATCCTGTAATGTCCTATCCTGCCCTATTCCATTCTAGTCAGTTGTACAATTTACTTCAACCATAATCCCACGTATACTTAGAACGATCAGTGAAAGTATTTTATAAATAATTCTACACACAATATGAACCATTCGGCGAACTATGTGATGGATAACACATTATTTGATAGACCTTAAAGTGGCATCTATGTTATTTGTAAGTGTTCACGGCGTGCCGAGATAATCACATTAAGCCGCTAAGCAGGTGAACGTGGTGACACGTCCCGGTACGTGACATGTCCGTTCCGACCCCAAAAATCCTGGATATCAACAAAATAAATTAAGAATTACAATCACATTAAAACAAGGTAATGTTGTGGTCAGTTATCAGAATATAAATTTTATGTGATTTTTAATTTGCTACATCAAACAGAGGAATAACACTAGAAGCAGCTTCTCTATAAACTGTTTGGCGAAAGGATTTCAGGAGCATTATAACCGCGGAAAAACCAGCAGAGTGTCAACAGCTTTAATTAGCACTGCAGCACGGTTGAAAAGACAATGGCGCCGCGATGGCAGAGAGCAGGCTGAATCCGTGACCTTCCTCGCTAGCTCTGCAGCGAAATAGGTCAGCGGCTTTATGCTATAAATAGCTCGGCGAAAGTCGGGCGCCGCGCCCCATCCCAGCGGGAGCGGAGCGTCCCGCGCGCGTCCCCCATCGATCCGCAACGCCACAGCGCCGTGCGCCTGCCGCCCGAGCCTAACAATTCGACAATAATTGATCTACTCGCCAGGCGGTCGCGCACCGCTGCCACCGACATCAACAAACATCGTCAACACTGTCCATCATAATCACATCCTGTCTTGAACATAATAGGCACCAATATTGCGCGACAGGCTTGTACTTTTTCTAAAATGCTCTTAAATTTATTTTATTTATTTATTTTTATTTATACTCTTTATTGCACATAAAACTACATGTGCATTAGGTTGTTTGTTAAAACTACAAAAGAGCCGTTCCTTAAAACTTTTGCTTCAAGTTACATTTCTTGAATATTTATTATGGAATTTGTGTGACAAACGAGCACACTGCCACCTAAAGGTAAGTGTATACTGTGACCCATAGACACCTACATTCCTTGGTCAAATCAAAATGCAGATGCGTTGCCACCCCTGAAAACTAAGATGGAATGCCTCGTTACCAGTAAAAATGCTGCTTCTCTTCACTCACTATACGAAACAACAGCATTATGTTCTCTTTATTTATATATATTATATAAATATAGAGAGAGGTAGTTTATACGTGGTAGAGCCATGTTGCAGCTATATTAGTAGTATAGTTGTGGCACGCATGGGTCGGCTCGACCGGGGAAGGACCACGCTCTCACAGAATACCAGCGTAAAATAGCAGCTTAACTCTGCTGTATTTAGTATGGTGAGTGAAGAGAACCGGATACCCCATTTTGCTGGAAACAACGCATTCCATCTTAGTCCTCACGGGTGACAACGCATCTGCATTTTGATTCGTTGTCGGTGATAGGTCTAGATGTCTATGGGCCATAGCAACTACTTATTTATTCTATAAAAAGTTCTATAAAAAATATTCTTCCTGTATGTATCTTTCCTCGTTAGAGCCAATTCATTTGTATTGTAGCCATAATATAGCTCATCATCGTGTAGTCATCGTGTAGTCGGGTGCATAATATAACTGTAACACTACCGCGTAATGGTTCTTCAACGGTTGACCCGAACCATTCGTGATGCTCCCATTGGTTATGATATATCTGCAACATGGCTTTACCTCGTTAATATTATCATTATCAGTCCAAGTAACTGATGTGCATAAGCATCTCCTATAGTTTGAAGGGTTTGCCAATAAAAATATATTAATCGGCATACTTGGCAGGCGCCAATGTTTTTGGCGACCCTTGTTACATTATTTACAAAATCAAAATAATAATGAGCAGAGAAGATGCTGACTGAGTTAATACATTCGGGTTTAAAATATAGTAATTTAAATGAACCGACAAATGACGGGGAAGAAAGGTTCTAGAGTGGCAGCCTCGTACCGGTAAAGGAAGTATAGAGATAGTGCTTAAGTGTTTAAGTACTTTGTGGTATTGCTTGGGGGAAGCCTATGTTAAGTAGTATTCTTGTGAAGGGCTGTAATGATGATGATTATAATTATAATAAGTAGAGGGAGCATTTTTAGGGAGCATGTAATGGAAACAGAAACATTTTATTCACTTTTGGGTGATATTGTAAAAAAAATTAAACTACACAATTTTACTTGGTAAACATGCGATAAAATTATAAAGTGCTATACTTGAAATAACGCGTGAAGTTGAAGTGGATTATTATAATTTTCTGCCGCGATGAGTGTTAACGTCGTCTTATACTGCCTTAGGCAAGTATAATATCCACATTATGTTATTTCTCGTCATAATAACCGTAAATATATAACGTGCAATCATTTTATCTTAAAAAGGCTTAATTTGTCCGACGGTTGAAAGCTGTCAAAAGATGAAAACAAAATGCATCAATCATAAAAACAAATACGGCATGGACATTTGTACACATGCTCTTTCTCAGTGTATAATGGAATATTGCTGGGGGAGACACAGCTTGGCAATTCGTTATGTAAATCAATGCTGAATCGAACTGTTAGTAACTACGTCGTGCATCGAACGTATCGTAAAGAGAAATTGTCAGCGGGAACAGGCGGAATGTAAACATGGCGCAGATCAGTCGGTCTTGCAGTAATCACCTACATACTTTGTATTCAAATTGGTGGACGAGTTGTGTAGTCG